CCCAAACCCTACCCCTAAACTATAACCCTAACTGCAAGCTTAACCTTAACCTAACCTTAACCTAATTAATAAAACAATCCAAAAAGAAACGACTTTGGAAAATCGATAGGGTGGTTTGCTGGATAGAAAATAGTGCGGTTATGGAGCAATGGAGTGGAAACTTTATCGCTTTCCTGCTGTTCCAAGAACAAAAATTGAATAAACATCCATGGTACTTATAGAACATTTAGGTTGGTCAGAAGAAAACAACTTGCCTTTTCGTCTAACTTCCTTTTTCTGTGGTAATTATCCCTATTTACTTCATCAAATTCATCCTGAAAAATATTAAAAAATCATAAGGGTATTCTGGAATAACTGGAAATATATTCTCATACTGTCATAGTCTAGTGATTATGTTTATGAGTTTATCATTTCATTGCAATGCATGGGGAGGCACACATATGTTCTTGAACTCATTGGCGGGTTGAACATGCAAGAGATTATATTCTAAGTAATTTATAGAACTGAAACACGAGCATTTGATATGTATTACATCTTGTTCGTCTTTTTTCAGTAATTTAGCACCAGAGTTCCAACATATACCTAATATTTTAGTAGTTCATTCTGAGGAAGGGAGTGTATATATATATTATATATTATATATTATACTATATATTATATATTATATAGAGTGTTTTGAATAGCTTAAAATACGACTACAAAAGCTAGAATACTAATTAGGATGAATCATTATATAATCATGCTAATTAGGATGAACAATTATATAATGCCACATGTGTTTTATCAGATATAAAGTCACTCCACGTGACATATTATGGCTGACATGATTTGCCACAAGGTTTATGAATTATTAATTATACTGTTTCCACCACTCCAAAATAAAACATCGCGCCGCCGTGTAATATCCTCTATATATGTGGGCTCCAAACTTATGTCAAAAAATCTTAAACATCTGCCTATAGGCGCTCACTCGTACTCAGCTCAAATATTGGAGCAAAATAGGAATGAGCAAGTTTTTTTTTCGGTCCATCCCTAGTTATTAATTAGCCAGCATGCAGCTCGCAGGGTGAGCTATAACAGCTATAAGCACATAGGTGTGTGTGTTGACTTCTAAATAAGTTATATTAAACTAAATTTATTTAATTGGCAGACATTTGCTGGGCGGCGTCCAAAGAAGTTATAATTATATGGTAAAATATTTTAGTATTGAAAAATTCTACTGATTCACAGGATTTTTATTAATGAAAACCTTACCGGGTCCTGCAAATTTCCTCCCCTTGGAAGCATATTCTGTAAGGATTAAACATAATGTAACTATTTTATGGCGATTCAAGGTTTCAGTTTGGCTAGCAGTTCACGGAAATAACTTGGTTGTTGTCATCCCACCCCCCGACCAGTGACAAGGCTCTTGCCCGAACTATGTCGAGTAATGACTGTATAGCCTGACCTTGCCTGAGCCTAGAACAACCCTGCATGGGCAGAAGGCCAGTTGTTCAAAGCTGAATTAGCGATAACCCTGGATTAAAATGGGGGGGGGGGGCAAAGGAGACAATTTTCCCCGGGCCTCCAGTGTAAGGGGTGCCCAAAATAAATAATGGTATGAGAAAAAAATTCTAGACCTAAATTTAACAAATATTGGTCCGAGGAAAGGGGTTTTACCCATGTCCGGAAAATATTTTTCGACCTCCCCCCAGCCTTCCTGCTCCCGCTCGCCAACATTTTTGGGAAAAATAGGAGCCCCAATACTAAATATAGTATAAAAATCATCAACGACAAATGCTTCGCGACACATTCACAGCAGTTATAACCATATGGAGACAAGTATAAAAATCATTCACGACAAACACTTTACGTCGACACATTCACGGCAGTTATAACCACATGGAAACAAACATAAAAATCATTCACGACAAACACTTTACGTCGACACGTTCGCGACAGTTATAACCATATGGAAACAAGTATAAAAATCATTAACGACAAACACTTTACGACACGTTCGCGACAGTTACACTGTTGTCAATGTGTTATGAAGTGTTTGTCGTGAATGATTTTTATGCTTTACACTGTCGCAAGTTAATTTCGTACTCAGGGATCGTACAAGCAGTTGGTGCATGGCAGTTTTGAAAAGACAAACATTGGGGCCATTCATACGGGACAAAATAAGACGCGACTTAAATAAGACGCGAGTTTGTCGCATAAAAGGCACAAAACTCTTATGTAAGACGCGTCTTGGATAAGACGCGACTTAAATAAGAACAGGACTTTTAGCTGTTCTTATTTAAGGCGCGTCTTAAATAAGAAATATGGACACTAAAATTCTAAACTTGAAACAACGTAAAATTATTAGCCTTGCATATTAAAACAAAAACAACCGAAACAACATTATAGCTATAACAAGCAAATAAGAATAAAGCCGTAGAGAACCATGCATTTATGCGATAACTCCGCTTATATAAGACGCGTCTTATGTACGTCGCGACTTATTTTGTCCCGTATAAATGGCCCTACTGTCTCACAAAAGCCCCCTTCCCCCTCTGTTTGCCGCAAAACTGTTGCCACGCTATCGATTTTCTGTTCCATTAAATCATAACCGTCAAGACACGTTTTTAGCCTGCCGAGTGTCCCAAAAAAACTGGACATTGTTTGATTTCATGCATCATAAAAGCGATAAAAGCTGTCGTAATGAAATAAAGATCATTGCATTCAGAAATGACCATGACTAATTTAGATTTTGATATATATAGCATTTGAATTTACATGCAATATTGACTATGGTACGCTATTGATGTTTGAACGTTGCAAGGACCGCGGAGCGTTTGGGAGTATTGGTGCAAGAGGTGTCCGGGGGCATGCCCGGGGGGGGGGCATTTTGAAATTTAGGTCTCTGAAATGGCCCCAATGCTTCTAAATTTAACGGTTATCGGAAAATAGTAGATATTTTTTGTGTCTAAGTTATTTAATTTTGGCCAAACATTTGTACTAAACACAACTAAAAAATATATCCGAAATTAAGAAACTAACTACGGGAAAAATATTGATGGGGCTAAAGCCCAGGGAGCCACCCTGCTCGATCCGCAGTCCTTGCGTTGAACTACTGGGGTTTTTTTTGAAAATGCAAGTATATCTCGCTCAATATCAGTGCATGTAAATTTAAGTGTTATCACTGCTGTATATCAAAATCTAAATTAGTCCATTCTGAATCAAAGTTTTTACGTTACATTACAACTGATTATATTTCACCTTACCTTAGTTATATAGTCGTCCAACCTTATTAGAATCAGCAAGTTTGCGTATTTTCCTGACCGCACTTGCAGCCAAAACTTTCCTCACCAGTCCACCAAACGGCGGATCAAAGACAACCAGTATTAAGTAGTTAAGTTTTCCTTAAAAAAAATATGGTTCAACATCATTATATCGATAGGATGATTAAACTTGTATCTAAAATTAAGAGCGCTAAATTTTGTCAAAAAATCATTAAAATACATCCTCAAACGTGTCAGTAAACTGAAAAAATTAGTAAACTAAAAAGTCATTATATATTTTGACCAAAAAACGGTAAGAGTTAAATATAAAGTATAAGGTAGATTCACCAATAAACATGTAACTATACGCATGTTAGCAGAAATCCTCCAATCATTTATTTGTACTGATAAGGCCACATAAAATTCATTGATCCTACAATATAAATGTACCGCCCGACAAAATAATTTTTTTATATTTTGTATTGGGTTTTTAGTACCATTTTAAATTGCCAATTTCAAACAAACACTGAGAACAACGAATTTAAATTGCCAATTTCAAACCAACACTCAAAAACAACGAACGCTTCCCCGCGAGGGCAAAACGAACGTTAATGGAAAACGGCCTTTAGTCTAAGAACCGTAGAATGTTGAGGAGTATGTAATGATACAGGAAAATTTCTAATAAACAATAATTAGTTCGTAATAAAGCTGTTAAATCAAAGACAAAGGAGAGTCGAGTCAGTTGACAATATAGACAGTACCGGTTAAACGAACAAAACTACCCACGAACCCGTTCGAACCCGTTCGAAGTTGATGAGTATACTGACGAGTTGTCGGTCAAAATTAAGCGAGTGTCAAAGAGTTGCAACTCTCTGTAACTCTAATATTCGTTTGAGCCGAGCTTCAGTGCTGTAACGGCCATTTGCGGCAGTACGATTGCTCATTCAGAAATAGCGCGAGAGCGGTTCCAAAGTAAACAAGCCCGAAGGTTTAGTTTCGCGACCCGACAACATGCACGGCCTGTACACATGGGGAAATCACGGTATTACACAATAAATCTTACTGACTTGCTCGGTTACACTACAGTATGCTAGTTATATGCCGCACCGTACGCCAATCTCGCTAATACAAACCTTTATGCCGGAAAATCAAGCCGGTAATTATAAGAAAGTACAAATGCCAAGTAAAAGCCGCGAGCAAGCTTTGTATCATCGACTAGCATTCTCCGTTCATACTTGTCATAACTAAACTTTTACTCTTTCTTAGTTATTAACTTAGATACACATAAGTCGTACACAACATGAGATAAATACCTTTTTTGCTTTGCCGACTTGAGCGAACCTTCTTCCTCCAAAGTGCAGAAAAAAGGCCAAGGGCCCCTGTAAACAATTTTTTATATACCTACAATTTTATTCATGCACAATAGACCTCTTTAATTAATATGATGTCAAGCGCGCAAAAACAATTCATGTGATGTCCCAAGTGTTGGCCGTGCCGTATAAATTTCATAAAACCCGGCACGATTGTTATTGTACATTATACATTGTAACGCAAAGGACCATGGGAATGCCCCGAGGCGTTTTGTTAGGCTTTCTCATTCACCGCGCGTTGGGTAATTCAACGCCAGCCTAGTCCCTAGGCATCTTATTACGCCTATTTCGCGTTTCTGCATATTAATGAGGTGACGGCTCCTGAAATAAAATGTTTCAAGTGAGGACAAAGTGTCCCAACTTTCTGTATTGAGATCAGTGGCTTGTGGAAATGGCGCCGTTCTCATGAGCGAGTAAAATGTTTATAGATTTGTATCAAATTAACTTTTATATTGCCATTAAATAGAAGCAGTGGTACATAAATTAATATACTGAAAAGACAATGTAGTAAGGCGGAATTGATGCTAACAAAAAACAAGAAATCGGTGAGAAATATTTTATAGAAGGTGAGAATTTATTTTAATATCGATATCCTGGGATAACTCTGCTGTAAATATGTAGAATATTAACTAAATACATGGTAAATATAGTAATGATATTTATCAATGCACTATTGAAATGCATGTATTCGCCTGTGTTAACTAGAACGTTTGAATATTTGGGAGCTTTGAGCACTGTGTTGTTAAGAATTTATTGATCAAAATATAGATGTGTTATGTACTTGCCAAAAATTTTTATTTTATAATTTTTGTTTGATGTTTAGGAAATGTTTTACCTGTGGCAGAAAATTTAAATGGTGCCATACAGGCATATACAGGGACAGTTGTCAAGAAAATATATAATTAAACAAGGTCATATTTGAAGAATTTGATGAAAGTGGTATTTGTGAATGACAAAGTTCAGGCAAGACATATTGGACAACATGGATGTACATAATTTTGCTGTTCATTTATTTCGTCAGTCAGGAACTGTCCGAACTGTAGTCTGCATAGTGTCATGTTTGTATTATATCTTAAAAATTAGTGTATGCTTATCACTTAAAACTAGCTTTAAATCAAAATTTTAAGTCAAAGTTTTGTCTTTTTATTAGAATTAAAATCATTCATGAGAAAAATGTGCCAAAGGGTTGAAATTGCCCTTGTAAATGTACACTATTTTTGACATGTTTGGGTGATAGTAGTTTGAAAAGGTGTTCTGGAAGGAAAATATGTTTTGAACAATACTAGTTGACCTTTAAATTATATTAAACTAGTGTTATGTAAATCACAAAAGTTTGAAAAAAATCTGGTCCATACACAATATTTTGGATTCTACAAGGTCCTGAATGGGGCTTATTTCAATGTTGAATCTGTTTACCTGGAAAAACATAGAACATTTAATAAGTCGAGAATTTGACTATGCTCATCACCCAAAACGAGGTTTTTCTAATTGCTTTTTCACTAGGCTTTGTGGCAATGCCAGTTATCACTTATGCAACCACAAAAAATTTGTGCAGCACTTTTTTGTACACTGAAGATCTGGCAACATTTGATGTCATATTATTGCCATCCTCTTTTCATAGTATAACTTAACTTATTTTAGTGAGTTTGTTAAAGAGTTATGCTTAAAATATACCTGTAGTATCTAAGATTTTTTCATAGCATTAGATGATAAATTTAAGTTCTGTTTTCTTTTATTTTTAGATGATAGTATCTGTTCACAGTCTCGTTGGTATTAAATTTTGCACAAGATTCAATTTGTGTCGCAAAATGTTATGTATTCTGTGTGTAATGTCTATTTGTCCTGTGTTAAAAATATTATATATATATAGAAAACATTATTTGTATCATTAAACGTGATACAGGACATAAAATTGCATCGTCATGGGAACACCTAATGGGTCATTCCAGAAAACATCCATACCACCCCCACAGAGGAAATAGGAAGTTAACCCCCCTATCCCCTTTGGATGTCCTAATACAGTTACTATTATCAGAAACAATTTGTTCTCCCCTCCCCCTCCGGACGGCAGAAATTTCCTCCATGGGGGGAGTATGGATCTTTTCTGGAATGACCCATTATCCCATATTAGAATGCCACGGACATGACTTGGGATGGTGTGGTAGATCAAAATTGGATTATGAACCACAAAAAGGGAACAAAATAGCAATAAGCGTGTTCCATTTACGTAAGGGAAATTTGTGGTAGAAAAAATATGTATTCCTGTTCTGTTCGTATAAATATAGGCTAAAAAACTGTAGTGTAGGACATAGGTTATTGGTATTGGTTATTGGATTAGTTATTGGTTATTGTTGAACATGTTTTAATATGTGTGTGTGTGTTAGTTTGAATTGCAAATTGAGATTTGAGAATCGTGTTGGGTAATTGTAACTTACATCATAGTAAAACGACGTGCACTAAACAAGTGTAAATATTGAATCATGAGCCAGCAACAGTGGCAGCGCCAGGCCTCAGAATTTGGGGGGGGGGCAAACTCATATTTTGGGG